GAGCTGGGGACCTACTTAGTAAGTGTCTGAGATGAGACTGATGGGTTATCCACATCTTCACCTTCTGCACATTTTTGACACTGACTACCTATGGGAATGTTTACAAAGACCATACTGACCTATGTGTTCCCTTACAAAGAAATTTCCAGAACCAATATGCCAATTTTTAAAAACCCCTTTAAGTTTCAAAGAAATATAACGCAATATATATCATTAGCCTCCCTACCCCCAAATCCATCCTAAGTGGAATCCATTAGTTTTCCAGAACAGTAGATCCTCCAACCTCCTAACACAACTGGGGAAATGCGGACAAAACATCTAACATAAAGACGATGGATCTCCAGGCTAACCATGGCCAGACTATTAAAACTTGTAGTCACAGGTAAAAACAAGATGAAACGAAGCAATAAAAATCTACCTTTTGGAAACTCAAGATGGAAATTCAGGGCAACCACAAGTTAAAAGAGTACTGAGGAGTATCATGATGTAGGAAGACCTAGAGTACTTGGCATTGTCTTAAGTGGGCATCAGTCAAGTTAACCAGGGCATACCAAAAAAGAAAAAAAAAGGCAAGTAGAGAGGCCATAACTTGGCAACTCCAGTTGCAAGACACCCAGAACATAACCTGATGTTTGTTTCCCAATTCCAGTATCTGTAGCTCTGACTGTAAAGTGTTTTATGTCCTGACCATAGAACCTACTCAATTATTTTAATAAATCTATTTCTGGAGCTAGAGTGAATCTGTTATTGCAACCTGAGGAGACCAAATTGAGAACATAAGATATTATTTCTGAGCTGAAATAATATCATGCACTCAGGAGGCCATTTGTATGCTATCATGCTAAGCAATAACAACATATAAAAATGACATGGAAAAAAGTTAGCATGGCTGAGGAAGTCAACTTTTGTACCAAAGCAAAGATTTAAGTCTGTATCTTTAAAACACTGTCTCACAGGATTTTCCATTTGATTTTCTAGTTTCTTACAAAGAAAGGAGGCAAAAGGGTCACCAAGGAAGGCTCCTCCCAAAGGATAATAGGACTTGCTTTATAACACTAATTCTGGCATTCACTCCAGAGTCTATAATTTACAGATGTATAAAGGTAGAAATTAATGTGCTGAATAAGCCACAAGGGGAGGTTTGCTTAAGAGAGTTCTGTTCAGTTACTGTTACACTGGATGCACCCCTACTTGTACACCTTCATACAACTGTCTAGTCAAAAAATAAAAATAGCACTCTTACCCTCTACATAAGTTTTCTGTAATCTGTCTCAAAAGGCCTAAGTATGCGACCAGTTTTAGTTCATTAAAACTTATGAAGGCTACAAAAACACATGTGTACACACACTAGCACATGAATGCACATACATATAGGGTCATTTGGAATGGACATTTAGCTGTGCTTAAACCATGCAAGCTCTTCACAGCTGAGGAAGAAAAAAAAAGTTCTGGTGGTACAGGACTTTAATACCAGTATTTTGGAGGCTCGTGAAGGAGGACAAGTTCAAGGCCTGTTTGGGCTACAGAGTTGAGGTCAGAGAATGCCTGGAAACTTAACAAGATCCTATCTCAAAATAAAAAATGAAGAGGAGATCAGAATATAGTTCAGTTGTGCAGTGTTTCCTCAGCATGTGAGAGACCCTAGGTTCAATCACCAGTGTTATAAAAAAAATAAAGGTTTATAAACGTAGATACATGTAAAGCACCTTGATGGGAAGGAAGGTTGTCGGAAAGTTGATTATGTGGATGTGGCTCTGCAGTAGTGTATACTTTCAGATCTGAAACCACCCTCCAATGCCTTTTAACTTTAGGAAAGATGCTACTGAGAGATGAAAGCTATTCAAAGATTCACAGAGGAACAGAGTGTCTCAGTCCTCCTTCCTCCCCTCAGAAGTATGGTGGCAGGATGTGTATGTATGCGCCTGTGTGTGTGTACATGGGTGTGGTGTATGTGTTGGGGGAAGTGGAATGACAGAGGAGTATGGGGAGTGACAGTCACTACACAGAGCTTTGCCAGGAATCTAGGCTTTAGTTGTGTTCCCCCAAAATCACACAATAGAATATAGTAAACTGTATTTGCAATGCACTAGGCAGAAGATTTAAAAAATGGCAAAAGAGTAAAGATAAATCTGTGAGTGGGTTATGCCTGGCAATGTAGGCCTATAATCCTAACTACTGAGAAGCCCACGACAGAAGGATAACAAGTTCAAACCCTACATGGGCTACAGAGTGATTTCAAGGCCAGCCTGGTAGACATGGTGAAACTGGGTCTCAAAATAAAAAATAAAAAGGACAAGAATAAAGCTCAATGGTAAAGTGCTTGCCCACCATGTCTAAAGCCCAAGGTTCAATCCCCAGCACAGCAAAAAATAATCTGTGTTGCCGGGTGGTGGTGGCGCACGCCTTTAATCCCAGCACTCGGGAGGCAGAGCCAGGCGGATCTCTGTGAGTTTGAGGCCAGCCTGGGCTACCAAGTGAGTTCCAAGAAAGGGCGCAAAGCTACACAGAGAAACCCTGTCTCGAAAAACCAAAAAAAAAAATAAAAAATAAAAAAAATAAGCTGTGAGTATTGGAAGAATGAAAAGAAAGGAAGAGACTGGAGTTGTGAGTAAAATGAACAAAGAAAACTGATGCTTTATGCTTCATGCCTCAATGTCCCCTAAAGGCCATGTGTTAAATGGCTTCTAGCTTGTGGTGCTATGAGAAGATGGGGGACAGGGCCGTGGTGCTTGAGGACAGGGGATAAGGGTGAGGAGGTTAGGTCACTGATCTTGAAGGGGATATTGGGACTCTGGCTCCTTTCTCTTTTTGTTTCCCAGCTACCATAAAATGAGTAGCTTTGCTCTGGCACACATTCACTGTCACAATATTCTACATTGTCACAGGCCCACAATGATGGGGCCAAGCAACAGTGCACTGACACTTTTTTAAATGAACCCACATAAATATTTTCTCCTGTAAGCTGATTGCCTCAGGCATTTTGTCACACCAATAGAGAGCTGACTGACACAGGGACACTAAGAGACTCAGGCATAAACTTTCAGGATTATTTTCTTTCAAGTATCTGAACTACTCTGAATAATCTGCAGTTAGTTTTTGCACAAAATGTGAACAACATAAAAGTTTCTGGCACATCCTGAAATTCGTATGCACAGATTAGAGATCAACATAACAACAATATCAGTAGTTCCTACTGATATTGTTAACAGAATAATGCTGACAGCAACAATCGGAAAACAAGTTCTTTCGATCTTAGCAGTCAAGTCACGGGGATTCCTCCTTGAACTGTATAAGGCTTTGATGCACTGCAGCACCGCTTAATCTCTTTGTACTACACAAGTTGTCAAGTTTCATAAAACTCCCGATACTTATCAAATCCACAGGTTCTCAGTTATAACCTCCCTAAAAATTAGTCACACTTGATTTTGTAAAGAAACAATGAGATAATTAAAATGAGTGTTTTCCAAACTTTACCATCAAGAATTTCAAACATTTACCAAAGTATAAACCACAGTATAATGAACCCCCATGTACTCACCAAAGCCTCAACTACTCTTCACAGAGGCCTAGTCTTTTTTCATTCCCCATCCTCTGTCTAATTTTGAAGCAAATCCCTTATTTCATACCATGTACAGACATTTAATATCTCTTAAAGCTATATCTCTAAAGCTATGACTAAAAACATTACCACCATATCAATATCATACTTAAAAACTATATAAACTTTGGGACTAGTTAATTCCAGTGTATGGTATTTTTTTATTTGTAATTTCTTAAAAAGATTTTTCACTTTATTTCATGTGTATGAGTATTTTGCAAGCATGTATGTCTATGTACCCGGTACCCCCCCGGAGGTCAGAAGAGGATGTTGAAATTGGAGTTATGGACAGTTGTGAGTTGCTATGTGAGTGCTAGGAAGAGAATCTGGGTCTTTTGCAAAAACAGCAAGTGTTCCTAACAGCTGAGCCACCTCTCCAGCCCACATTTTTGAATAATAAGATTATTAAACAATTTTAAGTGTCTAAAATTATCAAGCCACAGAATATTTATAGATCATCTATCTCTATAGGCACTCCAAGGTTTTATATACATTATCAAACAAGTAAAGAAGCGTTCCCTGGCCTTACATCAATTACAGCTCAAGAGAAAAGGCACAAGTGTGATGTATCAGCTAGACGTAGTCACCTTAGAACTGAAATAATGTGAGTAAATGTCTTCTGAGAAAACAGTGGTCTAGGCAGCTCCAGGAAAACAGAGTGCACAGGTTGTCCTTAGCAATGGTTGCTGAAGTGCAACCAAGGTCCTTGATGAAAACCAGGAAGAGGTATAGTCATGTCAACTCATCACCTGAGTGTATCAAGTGAGATGAGAAGCAGAGCAGGAAATGCAGTCTGGGGAAGGAGACAGGTTGGGAACACGAATCTGCCCAAAGGAAAAACTTAAGAAGTGCTGGAATCTGCTGGGTTACAGCCAGTTGAGCTTTCCCGATAGAACATTTATTTTAAATGAATAATGGGGACACCTGTTGTTCAAAGTCAAAGTCCTCAGTTAACCAGGGATTTATGAGTACCAGGCCTGCTCTACCCTGGGACTATTGGCATAGTGCCCATCCAGCTAAGCCCACTTGCTGCATAGCTTCTAACACCAGGAGTATGCAACAGAAATACATGTAGATTTGGCCAATGTGAACTCAGCCCCATTTTACAACAAGGAAATAGTTTAAAATGATGGTAAGTCAAAATTTAGAACTTCCTGAAATGTTAACTGTTTAAGAAAGAACTAAACCCTGACCAATGAAGTAGAGATTGATATTTGAGCATTAGAAATTATTCATCCTTTCCCAATCTAGAAATATTTCATATTTGAACTAAGTGGTTTAGACCTAACATGGCCTGATGAATCACAGACTACACAGCAACATAACCCTACAGCTGAGCTGCCTCAAACAAACCACCATGCTATTTCTGCCATGGTCAATGACACTGGGTTAGTATCCTTACCTTTCACCACATCAGCTACATTACAGGTAGGATCGATACTCCCTATGTGCTTAGGATGAGCAGGATTGGTGTCACCACCAAAGAGAAGTGCTAAATGAACACAAAAGAGAAGGAAAGGGGCTGAAACACAGCAAGTTGAGATGGCCAAGCACAGAAATACATTTCTAATTGTCAAAAAGGATTATTATTATTTTTTTTTTTTGGTTTTTTTCCGAGACAGGGTTTCTCTGTGTAGCTTTGCGCCTTTCCTGGAACTCAATTGGTAGCCCAGGCTGGCCTCGAACTCACAGAGATCCACCTGGCTCTGCCTCCCGAGTGCTGGGATTAAAGGCATGCGCCACCATCGCCCGGCGGATTCTTTATTTTAAGAATCACTTCAGCATCCACAATGACTTGGAGTAATGCAATCCAGCTGATGGCTGAGCAATACATCAGCCAAAAAGGGGAAAGGATGTACTTCAGGTCTCTTCAGTTGCAGTCAGTCGATCCTAAAGCAGCGGCACACGGCAGGTGCCCAATCCTTTCTCCTTCCGCTGATGGAAACTAGATCAAGACACTTCCATGCTTGGCAGCTTATCTCCCTGCTCAAGACTCTTGCAGCCATTTATCCCAATCCCTAAACATTCACAACGTGAAGGCCAGGCCAGTTGTGAGGAACCTTCACTGGCAACACTACCAATGCCTGCATCATGGAGGTTCTTTTTCAATTCTTTGTACACCAACAAGATTTGTTCAAATAATTTAGAAAAATATCCCATTTACTCTATACAATAGTTGCAAACTTTTATTCCTAAATAAAAACCTAAAGAACCTGAAGAGAAAAAAATCAACTCAAGCCAAATTTTCATAGGTAGACTTTCTATTAAATCAATCAACACTTGGAAATTTTCATAGGTAGACTTTCTATTAAATCAATCAACACTTGGAAATTGCCACTATCTCAGTAAAAAGCTGGCTAGCATTTAGTACCCTTTTCTCTATAAATTGTCATACATTTGTTTCTAAAAAATACATAAAGACATACTTAAGAGTTCCATAACACCCAGCACTCGGGAGGCAGAGCCAGGCGGATCTCTGTGAGTTCGAGGCCAGCCTGGGCTACCAAGTGAGTTCCAGGAAAGGCGCAAAGCTACACAGAGAAACCCTGTCTCAAAAACCAAAAAAAACAAAACAAAACAAAACAAAAAGAGTTCCATAACATTTGTTTATCTAAATGAGTTAAAAAAAAACAAAAAAATGAGTAAGACAAACAAAACATGCTTTGTCCATTCTCTGATTCAGCAAGAATGACTCCAAATATGTGGATGCTTTTTCCTTAAAATTAAAAAAAAATCAAGCAAGATGACAACACTAGAAATCAGCCAAGAAGTTCTTTTTGCTGAAAAGAATTTTAGATGTTTCCGCCTGTCTATCACCATGGGGAACAGACTAAAACTCTCAGTCGCATCATGGATTGATAATCTTGCTTCCTCAGATTGTTCCTATCACTGTGGAATAAAGGGAATTGCTTATATATCCAACATGCCAATTCAATATTCCCAGTTTTAATGTTTTTAAAACTAAAAAAGAAAATATGTGTATGGATTAAGAAAAAATACTCCCAGGTACATTAAATTATTGAGAAGTCAATGTGGCTGCCATTAAAACCAGTCCCTTGTCTCCACAGAAATGTAGCTGCAGAGCCCTTGAAAGACAGGCAGTGTTCCTGCCTCTAATGTAAGCACCCCAAATGTCTTCCTCGGACAGCTTTCAATCAAGAATACTGATTAAGCGATGTTTGTAACAGGAAGGATTCATTTAAGAAAAACTGAACTAGAAATGAAATTTCTACAGCTAAGAGTCTAAGTCAGTAAATTAGAAGTGAAACACAAGGAAAACTTTTCAGAAAAATCAATATGGTTACCTTTTCACAACTGGACCCAACATAACCCACTTACTGTGTTGGTTAATGAGCATGCGGAAAGAAATGCGGTTGGTATAAAAACGATCCAGGAAATATTGGATGTTACTGCTAATAAATGGATCAAACCCGAACTTTTCCTTGTATTCTATCACGCCTTGGGCCATTGTAGGAACAACATCGTTGTGTCTGTTTCTGATATTAATGAGAACATGGAGAAAGCTGTATGGGAAGGAAACAAAGTGGTGAGTCTGTATTTCATAGACCGGAACACACTTCCACCTCTGTCTAGTTACCTGTTAGTACTCTTTATAAGAATAAATACTACTTCTATCAGATAGTAAAAGGAAGTAGTCATAAATATTAAAACTTAATTCAAGCTTTGGTTTGAAACTTACTACCAAAATTCTTTCAGAGCTATACAAAGTTGTAAAAAGTTCTAATAAAGCTTAAAAATAAGTTCAAATAATTTGTTAGGAATGAACTTACATTTTGGAGTTCTATAAATTTTTTTTTAACTAAGAATTACAGAACATATCAATGCTTCTCCTGACAACATGAGGACAATCCTGCCAAAGTCTCTAAGGACTTAGAAATGGAGTCTTAAAGCAAGCGCTTCTTCTCTGAATAAAGAATGCCAAGCTTTTCATGAGCAAGAATTTGAAATCATCTCCTTCCTGCAGTGTAACACGAGGCAATGTAGATATAAAAACTCAACAGAAATAAACTCATTTGCTGGGAACAGTGGCACATACCCATAGTTCCAGATACTCGGGAGGCGGAAGCAGGGGGGTACTTGAGCTAAGGTGTTTAAGAGTAGCCTGCACGGATACTAGACATGAAACAAGGATGAATTGTCTGCTACTCACATCACCAGGGAGGCTACCCGGAAAACAGGACCCCAAGAAAGACACAGGGATCGCCCAATGACAGAGAAATGGAATGAGATCTACATGAACAGCCTGGACATGAGTGGGGGTAATGAAAGGCGAGGGTCGAGGGAAAGAGAGCTTGGGGGAGCGGGAGATCCCAGCTGGATCAACAACAGAGAGGGAGAACAAGGAATAGGAGACCATGGTAAATGAAGACCACATGAGAACAGGAAGAAGCAAAGTGCTAGAGAGGCCCACAGAAATCCACAAAGATACCCACACAACAGACTGCTGGCAATGGTCGAGAGACAGCCTGAACTGACCTACTCTGGTGATGGGATGGCCAAACACCCTAATTGTCGTGCTACAAACCTCATCCAACTACTGAGGGATCTGGATGCAGAGATCCATGACTAGGCCCCGGGTAGATCTCTGGGAGTCCAATTAGCGAGAATGAGGAGGGTTTATATGAGCGAGAATTGTTGAGACCAAGGTTGGATAAAGCACAGGGACAAATAGCCAAACGAATGGAAACACATGAACTATGAACCAATGGCTGAGGGGCCCCCAACTGGATCAGGCCCTCTGAATGGATGAGACAGTTGATTGGCTTGATCTGTTTGGGAGGCATCCAGGCAGTGGGACCGGGTCCTGTGCTCATTGCATGAGTTGGCTGTTTGAAACCTGGGGCCTATGCAGGATTGTTTGTCTCGGCCTGGGAGGAGGGGACTAGACCTACCTGGACTGAGTCTACCAGGTTAATCTCAGTCTGTGGGGAAGGCTTTGCCCTGGAGGAGAGGGGAATGGGGGGGGGGCGTTGGGGGGAAGGTGAGGGGGACGGGAGGGGGGAGAACAAGGAAATCCGTGACCGATATGTAGAACTGAATTGTATTGCAAAATAAATTAAAATAAATTAAAAAAAAATAAAATGAAAAAAAAAAAAAAACAAACAAAAAAAAAAAAAAAAAAAAGAGTAGCCTGCACAATATAGGAAGACGCTCACCTCCAAATCAAACTCACAAATCATTTTCAAGGATTCTGGCACATTACTGTAAAGATGTATAGAGAAGGGACTGAGAGATGGCTCAGTGGTCAAGAGCGCTGGCTGCTCTTCCAAAGGAACCAGTTTGTACACTGTGGTAGCTTGAATAAAAATGGCCCCCAGCTGGGTGGCAGTGGTAGGCACCTTTAATCCCAGCACTTAGGAGGCAGAGGCAGGACTATTACACAGAGAAATCCTGTCTCGAAAAATAAAAAAAAAAATAAAAATTTAAAAAATAGCCCCCAAAGAATGCTTAGGGAGTGGCACTATTAGGAGGTGTGGCCTTGTTGGAGTAGGTGTGGCCTTGTTGGAGGAAGTGGGTTGCTGGGGGCTTTGGGATTCCAGATGCTCAAGTCAGGCCCAGTGTCTCTCTCTTCCTGCTGCCTGTGGACCCAGATGTAGAACTTTCAGTTTCTCCTCCAGCTGCCTGCATGCTGCCATGCTTCCTCCCACGACAACAATGGATTAAACCTCTGAAACTCTAAGCAAATCCCAATGAAATGCTTTCCTTTACAAGAGTTGCAGTGGTCATGGTGTCTCTTCACAACAATAGGACATTAACTAAGACACACATGGTGGCTTACAACCGATTTTAAGTCTAGTCCCAGGGGAACTGATACCCTCTTCTGGACTCCATAGGCACCAAATACTCATGTGGTACACATGTCTTGTAGACAAAACACTCATACATATAAAATTAAAAATAATAAATTTAAAAACATATATAGAAAAAATATATGAAATACAGTGACTTTAAGAACAGAAAAATAAGTCAAGCAATCAAACAAAAAAAAATTATGAAACCAGGCTCAAAGGCTGAGTAAATAGCTGTGCACCAAAATATATCATATTAAGAGTATAACAATGTGGGGTCTGGAGAGATAGCTCAGCAGTTAAGAGTACTGATGGCTCTTCCAGAGGACCCAGGTTCGATACCCAGCACCCACATGGCAGTTCACAACTGTCTGTGGCTCCAGTTCCAGGGATCTGACACCCTCACACTGACATACAAGCAGGAAAAAACACCAAAGCACATGGAATAAGAATAAATTTAAAAAAGAATGTAACAATGTAAGTCAGTAAGGGAATGATTAAACCCATTAGGCCAGAGGTCTAATCATAAAACAATGTCAAGCCTTTAAGCCCCAATTAAATGAAAAATGAGAGAGTGAGACTGGGGAGATGGCTTAGGGGTAAAGTGATGAGGCTCTGTACCCACATGAAAGCCAGGTGTGGCAGCACATCTCAGTAACCCAGAGCTAGGGGAGCGGAGACAGGTGGATCCCAGGGGATCGCTGGCCAGCCACTCTAGTCAAAACATCGAGCTCCCTGTTCAGTGAGAGAGCCTGTCTGGAAAGATGAGCAGAGAGTGATCAAGGAAGACACTTGATGCCAACCTCTGGTCTCCACTGGAAAATGCACACATAGACATACACACACATGTATACACATAAACCACACATAAAAGTTAATTTCTTTTGAAAAAGATAAAAATGTTGAGTGAAATCACAAACAATAAAAGAAAACCAGCTGAATTTAGTATGCAATTTTAAAATAAAGAAGGCTGTTCTAAGCTTATTAGCAAGGGCAGAAACACATAACATAAAGAAACAAAGATAACTGCAGAATTTCAGAAGCACACATGAATAAAAGAAGACACAAAAGTCCTTATACTTAGTGAAGATGAACATCCTATTGAGAAACTAGGAAAAGGGTCTAATATTAGTGGGGAAATCTATGAAAAAGCAAGCACAAATGCCAAACAATTAACCAGCACAAAAGCAAAGTAAACTAGGTGAAACTGTTCTTTCTTTCTTAGGATGGCAAATAATAGCCAGTGTAGGTTGCGTGTGGGCACTAAATGGAACATTTGCTAAGGGCAACTTAACCAAATATATCTGAAATCCAAAGAGGATAATTCCACTTCTAGGATCAACGCTGGGGAAACAACTGAACAAGGTGAATAGCTGTTTTTAAAAACTGCTTTCACACACATACATGCATGCATCATACACAGAGAACATGGGGGTGGAGGGGGAGGGGGCAGACATGAGAGAAAGAAAATAAAAGCTGTTTTGGGAGCACTGTTTGAGCTAGCAAGATGGCTCAGTGGATAAATGTACTTGCTGTGTAAGCTTGGTGACCTGAGTTTGGATCTCTGGAAGTCATGGAAAGGGAAGGCAAAGACCAACACCCAAGGCTATCCTCTAACCTCCACACATACAACATGACAAACACCTATGCACATATACTCATACATACATGCATATATACATACATACATAGATACATACATACAAGTATTTTTAAAAACTACAAACCAGTCTAAAATTCAACACTAATGGGTCAAATTGCATGACCTATCTGTAGAAGAATTAATAATATGTGCCGGGCAGTGGTGGAACGCACCTTTAATCCCAGCACTATGGAGGCAGAGGCAGGCAGATCTCTGAGGCCAGCCTGGTCTACAGAGAGAATTCCAGGACAGCCAAGGCTAGAAAAAAAACATCTCAAAAAGCCAAATGTGTGTGTGTGTGTGTGTGTGTGTGTGTGTGTGTGTGTGTGTGTGTGTGCACGCGCGCACGTGTGTCTGTGTGTATAAGTACCAGCTATGTGCTACTCAATAACATTTCAATGACAGACTCTACACAACAGTGTCCCCAAAAGATTATGTCCCCTAGTAAGGCTGTCGTCCTCTTACGTTTGTATGAGGATACTCCACAGCGTTCACACAAACAAATTTTCCTCATGAAGCATTTCTCTAAAGGTATCGGTCATTAAGTGATGCACGATTGTATTGTGAAACTGTTAATAATGTCCAAGAACTATTGTAGACACTTATTTTTATAAAAATTGCTAGGCAGTGGTGGTACACGCTTTTATCCCAGCACTTGGGAGGCAGAGGCAGGTGGATCTCTGTGAGTTCAAGGCCACCCTGGTCTACAGAGTGAGTTCCAGGGCAGTCAGGGATACACAGAGAAATTCCATCTTGAAAAACCAAAACAAACAAACAAAAACCCAAACAAAAACAAAAAACTTCACACTCATGCAATATGAATGCTTAGGGTACATAAAGGTAGAAGAAAATGTTAGCTGTGGTTGTCCCCTAGTAATTTAATGGAAATTTAGGATAAGTTTTCTTTTATTTAAGTCTCATTTTTCTCAATGGAATACTTCTATAGCAAATATATACATACAATGATAGCAAAGATGAGTAAACTCTGAAACTAGAAGTTCATAATTAGCCAGGCTTGGTGGCACACATCTTAGTCCCAGCACTCAGGAGGCATAGAAGGCAGCTAGATCTCTGAGTGCAAAACCAGCCTGATCCACACAGTGAGAACCTGTCTCAAAAACAAAACAAAACCAAAAACTGCCCAAGTTCACAATTATACACAAGAAATTTTACAATGGGTAATTTTTCCTCATATACCTCTTTCCAATAACGTATTTATAAATTAAATATCAGTAAAATGAAACAATTCATTATAGTGCAGAAACATCTTTACTTGAAGAGAAGAGGCTTACTTTAATGGATTAATTCTCAGAATACCTCCCTACCCTCCTGGGCTTTTCTATCTCCATCATGATGATCAATTTGATTTACATAGATGACCCCCAGTTAGTGATCTCATATAACCTCTAGCTGAACAGAAAGGGATGTTCAGGACACTAGCTCACCTTTCACTTCTTCCTTTACTAACGGCATGGGGCTTCTCCAATCTCCACTTTCCAAACTAGCTGCATAAAGCCAGCAAGTTATCAAAACTCACCGACTGAGAACTACTGCCATGATCTAGCACACACTGGATTTGGTACTCTCCATTTACATATTGTCCTTGATGGAAATTTTGTTACAGAGACAGGACTCCAGAAAAACCATAGCAATGAATTAATAGTTGTGTACTTCTCCAAATCTATATCCTCAAATGTAGAACTAGAGGCCAGCTTCGCTCTGAGAATCTCAAAATGTCCCCAACTAATGATTTCAGGAAACAGAGCTCCTGGAATCAATCCCTTTGATGTCAACACCTTAAATGGCAGCAGTGACTAGTATCAAGGAAGCAAGTGTGGCTCTAACCCAATGCTTGCACTTTTCACACTTCACAGATCCATTAGAGAAAAAACAACTAACCCTGAGCTACCTTCTTCTGACTGGAACTAGCCATTTCGGCACTATGGTACAATGCAAAGAACCACTACACTAAGGAAAAGGAACCATGACTCACAGGTGCTCTGCTATGCGGTGTCACAACCTTGAGAACATTCTTCTACACTTCTGACCTCCATATTTCCTTGTTTGTGAATGCACGTCTGGGTGAAAAAACACTCCAAAGTTGTTTGTGTAGTATAGTGTTTCCCTAGTTCTTTTCATGGAACATCCGAGTCAAGTGTCTCACAATTATATGGATTATGTCTATACTTAAAAGAAAGTTCTCAGCGAGCATTCATTGTACACTCCCAAAACAGGAAGAAATTAGGGTGGAGATACTTAATTTCTCTTGGGGAAAAAAGCCCATTAACAGCTATGGTTTTCTGGAGTTATGTTTTGTTGGAGAACAAAAATGGAAAACAGAAATACTTTCCAGTAACATGAGAATTCAGTAGTCTCTGTGCATAGTGTCAGCAACAGAATTCAGGTTGTCGTATAAACACACACACACACACACACACACACACACACACACACACACACACACTTACTTATGTTTCTCCAAAACAAAATCACTACAGTTTTCTGAGATCAACTGTAATATCTCATTGGAAAATATGTTTTAAGTTGATGGATTAGGTAGATAATTCATGTATATTTCATGTGTGTATGGAGGCTACTGCATTCTTCAAACTACCACTAGATGGAACATTCACCACAATGCTTATATTACACTGGTGTCCAGCTCACCCTGACTAAATATATTAAGAATTATGTCATGAAGTAGTAACTGAAATTTCATTATTCTTTGTGTACTGTGCTAAATTCTTAAATTTAAAAAAATTCAAAAATGTCATTACCCACAAGAAAATTAAAAATTTTGTCTGAACTCTAGTTTCTTGTGTTCTCAGATGTATGTGTAGTACATATAGGTATATGCATGTTAGAATGTGAGTACACAAATTCTCACACACATACATGTGGAGGCCAGATTAGTTCAGTTGTCTTCCTTATTCACTCTACCTTATTTGTCAAAACAGGGTCTCTCACTTGAACCTAGAGCTCGCTTATGTGAATAGTGTAGCTAGGCAGCTAAACTTGAGAGCTCACAGTTTTGGGTAGTTTAGCCCCCAGCTTCCCTGGAGACTCCCAAGTACTAGGATAACAGGCAGGTTGCCAAACCTTCTCAGTGATCATTTGACTACTGCAGATCCAAATGCAGGCCCTTACTTGTGCAGGTATGTTAAGCACTTTAACAAGCGAGCCATCTCCCCAGCCCTGAATTACAATTCTTGAGGCCCAATAGCACGAGTTCCATTTATCAAAATATTCTTTTGCCTACATAGTTTTACTTTCAGGTAAATTGCACCATACTTACTTATCTAAAACCCGTGGGTCTTCTGGGCTCTTGTTTTCATACTCTAAAAGTTCAAGGAAGCTTTGCATGTACCTAAAAAAGAAAAGTCAACATATTAGCTGCCTGTCTCACATCCTTTCCCTTTTCCTAAGAGTACCCCAAGTTTTCACTCGGGTTTTACCCCTGAAGTGCTTCAGGCAAATTTGCTTCCTCTGAAGCATGTAGGTAGCTCCATTTTTCTCTGGGAGATCCGTTTTCTCTTGTCAGTTATTACTCATCAGTCCCATGGTCCTATGAATCGTGTGCATCCCTGAACACAGGGACGGATTCAGGAATAGGACTAATGCTTCAAGTCAGGCTGAAAGAAGTACACAGAAGACTTGCTGGAGGTCTCTGAGAGAGAAACGGACTTCTCTGCTCTTCTACACTGTGCTGTACAAACAGGAAATCTGCCACTGCTAAAGGCAGTGTGCCGCCTGGAAGGAAGCTCACCTGAAAACAAAGCCAACACTATCAAAACACAGCTCTGCTAGCTTCACGGGTCTCTGACTCAAGCTGACAGGAAAAGCTCACCCTATGACTGGCCCTTTTAGTTCTACAAGCCAGCTTAGCTTCAGCCGAATCGTCTGCTATTACAAATGCATCCCAGATCTTGGAGTTACAGACAGCTGTGAGCTGCCATGTGGGTGCTGGGAATTGACCCCGGGTCCTTGGAAGAGCAGCTAGTGCTCTTAACCACTGAACCATCTCTCCAGCCCCTTATAATTTTTTTGAAACAGGGTCTCACTATGTAGCCTTGGCTAGCCTAGAAATCAATATGTAGACCAGGATGAACTTGAACTCATAGAAATCAACCTGCTACTGCTTCCTGGATTCAGGGATTAAAGGCATGAACCACCACACCTGGCAAAAAGAACACACAATTTTAAGAAGTGCCCTGGGTTGATGCTGAAGTGTACATCAAGAATACAAGAAGGCTCCTTCTCAGAGTAAAATTAACTTCACCAATATATATTAGAAAAATACACGTTAGGCCTTCAGAAAAAGATTCTGGATTGATCGTATTTCTCAATAAGGGCCAAGGTGGGAAAGAGAACATAAACATGAATTATGAAAGAGCAAATATAACCAAATGTTACCGGTGAGGCTGGATGGCAATTCTTAAGTAGGAAATTATTTTTCAGAACAGAACGTGTAAGGACAAAAAGAAATGGTATACATATAGTCTGAAGTCGACATGGACAATGGGGAAGACACAAAGGTCAAACACAGTAATCTAAGTCTATACTTCACTTTGTGTGTGTGTGTGTGTGTGTGTGTATGTGTAATAAAAAAGTAAATTTGCTATTTACTCCTGGTTCCTGGTACAGTTCCTAAACCTTCAAACTTACAGAATGACAGGAGTATTTTTTGCTATGCATAAGAAGCATCTATTGTTCACATCTGAGTTATTCTAATGATGTCAGTTAGGGTGGGACCTTTAGAGAGTGTCAACATGATCCTGATCAAAACAATGAGCAAGTGACTGGGGAGCTATAACTTTTGATCCAATCCCCAACCTCTGTGGAGGCATGAGGCCTGAAAATGAAACTCTCTAAACACGCCTGAATTAGAAGATTCTGAAATCCTTGTGTTGAACACCTGGAGGCGCCAACAGAGCACACTCAAAGGGGGCACAGATGTTACAAAGCTACAGCAACATCTTGTCTGATATACTTCTACCATCTTTGCTGTTTCTGAATGATATCTTTTACAGTCTACCTGTAAATATAAAAAAAGTGACTTCCTAAGTTCTATAATCCACTTGAGCAAATTATAAACTTCATAAGGGGGTCATGGAAACTCAATGTCCAGTCAGTCAGTCAAAAGCATGCACATGGCATCTGAGGTGTGGTGTCAGTCTTGGGGAACTAAGCCCTTAAACTGTGGGCTCTGTGCTGACTTCACACACTCAGTATCAGGATTGAACAGAGTTGCTGAACACTCAGCTGGTGTCTGGAAAATTGGTTAATGTTGGAAAACATTTCAGAGACAGTAATTCACTTTGAAGTTCCTGAAGTAACTGCTACATAAGCAATGAATTGCTACCACTTACTAGATCCAAGGACTTGACCTTGCCTACCTAGGATCCTCAACATAGTTGTCCCTGACAGTGACTTATACTTTCTACAGCAAAATTTCCAATGATGGTCTTGAAGCAATAAAGAAGTCTCACACAAACAAGCATTTGTTGCTCCTTCCCTCTAAAATAAGCTATGAGTCCAGAGCAGAACACAACTATGGCATCAAATCCATAGTCATCATTTCTCTGATCTTTCCTAAGGACTATAAACCTCATAGTCAAGAGCTTCTTGCTGCTTTTCTGGAAAGGGGGTTAGACAGTGAACCTATAAGACCATCTAAATTTGTGAGTAATGGAGGAAGTCCCCAGTGAACGTGTAAGTATCAGATGAAGTCCTGAGTGAATGCATGTTGTTGACATGAGCATGGCCATGTCGAGGATGCCAATGCCTCAGATTCATGGGAATGGTAGAGTCATCCCCTGGTCAACATGTAGATGTTGACAGTGTGTACAGAAAATGTCCACTGAAGTTTCTTCCTCCCAGATATTTACACCCTGAGACTGTTCCCCTACAGAGATCCCCTACCTAGACCAGCTCAACTTGAGCTAAACTCCTTATTCAGCTCTATACAACAAATCCCCCGCTTCAGTGACGTTGATGCAGCTCCATCAGAATGCGCAGCTTACTTGAGTCTGGCTTTTCTGAATGTGTACAGTCTATCATTTTCTTCACTCTCCATCACCTGAGTTAGGTCAATCCCTAAACCATGCAAGTTCATAGCCTAAAACTGCTTCTCAGAAGAACTTCATATTCTAGAGGAATGCTGCTGAATGGCCCCCACACACTCTCTAGTTTTCCAGCTCATGACGTTTTCTTATGATGCTCTCCTGCTCCTCTGCACCAGTCAGTTCCACCCACCCATAAAGGAACAGTACAGGACCAAGGCAGCATTTTCTGTCCCTTTTTTGTTCTTACAACACTGCTCCTGATTAGCAATGTGTACACTACCTGGTCCCTACAGTCCTCCAGCTTTCTCCAGACACTTCCACAATGCTTTTATAGCAGAGTAGACCAAACATGCAAACCCCTGTCTAAAAACACAACATCTTTTCTTACAGCCTCCTACCCACTCAGTGATCTCACCTAGGGAGGAAAGTCATCACAAACTCTACTCCTTCTGTTAGAGAATACATGCCTTATAACCAGAGCTAGAACTGATTTAACTTTGTTTTAACTTTAAGATCTTTCATACAGCAGATGCAGAAAAGCGTGGAACTGATACTATTTCCATGTGAGGTTCCCCTGTAAATGATTTGACTGTTCACTCATCTCCATCATAGATCTTTAAAACAAAAACAAAAGAGGCAAGGCTGAGACTTACTAAAAGTAGAAAACACCTCCCTAGCCAAAGGGAAGCAAATGGGTTAGTCATGGAGTTGAACTGATGGAGTGCTTGCCTAGTGCTCTGTTGCCAAAGCTGTGCTTCAATCCCCAGAAACCGGACATGGTGACACGTGTGTGGGATCCCAACCCTCGGGAGGCAAGAGGATCAGAAATGCAAGGTCACCTAGGCTACAAATTGAATTCAAGGCCAGTCTGGGATACATGAGACACTGCTTCTTTTTTTTTTTTTTAATGAAAGTGGGTCCACTGATACCTGGCCACTGCATTGCCATTCTTGTATATTATTCCCTAATTTTTTTCAATGAAGCAACCGTGTCTATAACAAGAGAAAAAGTGAAAAGTTAAGGAAACATCTTATGGTTTAAGATAATTTCATTAAACAGTTTTAAAATGAAACTCTTTTTGTTTTTTGGAACAGGGTTTCTCTGTATAACAGCTCCGGCTGTCCTGGGACTTGCTTTGTAGCCCAGGCTGGCCTCACAGGCTGGCCTCACAGACCTGTCTCTGCCTCCCAAGTGCTGGGATTACAGGTGTGTGCCACCACCACCAGGCCAGTTTTTAAACGAATAGTTAAAAGACAAGTGTTTAGATGCAAGGAAAACTTAGGTATCCTGAATGACTCATTCCCAGAAAGACTTCTGTGGAAAATGGTTCCGATGCCAAAATGTTCCACGCATTGTAGGGTGATCACAACACTCACTTACCAACTCTGAACTAATCCCACTGAAGGGCGGTTCAACAGATTATCCGGCAAAAGATTAACTTCTCTCATTGTGTTAGCCAGTCGAACAGGGAGCTCCTTGCGCAGAAACATGTATGACGTTTTCTCACATGCATTATCTCTACCTATTATGAGGTGAAAAAAATTCCACAAAATTAACATCCAGAGACATAAAATGCTCTCATGTTAACAGAATTACTACTGGTCAGGAAAAGAAAATTAAGTAATATAACAGTATCTAGCTAAATTTTTATTCTCTGAAATAGCAAGTTTAAGAGAACCACTTAATTAGAAGAGAAAAAGAACATTTATTCCAAGAGGCAACTTAAAGAATTTTTTTTTCCTAACACAAATATGTACCTAGTGTTACCGGCCACAGTATAAAACTGACCTGGGATATAATTTGAGTGTTTTCAAATAAACACTGTGGGGAAATTGCCAAGTACAGAAACAGTACAACATGTAAATCCACTCCTGCTCATAGTAGTTTTCAGGGAGGCAACATGATCCATTCATTCTGTAAATATTCCTATTGTGTGCCAACCATTTGCTAAGAGTTTTCTTCCAATGTTTCTTTAGGAAACACACAGCTCTGCCACCCTGGAAGCAGAAGCTCTGTGATTCCCAATAAGGGACTCTAAGCCAGAATATTATGTCTAAAAAAAAAAATAGCTTACAATGTCCTCCCAGGTGAATGATCCACTATGACACATCCAAGACGGAAAAACCATGTCATACAGGTCAGTGAGGAAAAGCAGGCACAGCAATCGAGTAGCATGTGAACTCCCTCCCGAGTGGATAGCAGACACTGGGACTAGAATGCGAGTTCCTAGGATTGGGGATGGTAGGGATGGAGAGGGATTTAGCGATGGCTGCTAAGCTGAAGTGTAACGAACTCCCTCCCGTGTGGATAGCAGACACTGTGACTAGAATGAGAGTTCCTAGGATTGGGGATGGTAGGGATGGAGAGGGATTTAGCGATGGCTGCTAAGCTGAAGTGTAACGAACTCCCTCCCGAGTGGATAGCAGACACTGGGACTAGAATGAGAGTTCCTAGGATTGGGGATGGTAGGGATGGAGTGGGATTTAGCGATGGCTGCTAAGCTGAAGTGTAATGCGGTACAGTATGTCTAACAACTACGCACCATCCATTTCAAAACATGAGAAGGCTTTTGAAAGTTTGTCAGGAGAAAGGAGCAAATGTTTAAGGAGACAAATATGTTTAACCTGATGTGAACATTATGCATAGTGAACATTGTATGCTACTCCATTAATATGATTAATATAAACAGATTACTACGTATCAGATAAAAATAAAAAAGTAACAGAAAAGACATGGTCAGGGAATCTTCTGGAGCTGGTTGTGCATTCATATAAACAGGGTAGGGTGAGAGAAAAGGCACCTGGTCACCTACAAGAGGAAGCCTGGGCCCTTTTCCCACCTGTCTCGTAGCCCCAGCAGGTCCCTGAACCTGTTACAAACTTATGGCTGGGAGAAAAGATGTGAAATAGAGGATATCAGCTTTGGGAACACCAATACCCCCCGGCCCCAGTTGTGAAACATTTGCTAAGCTTTGCCATGTTTCCGAACTTTAGCTGCCATAATCTGTAAGGCAGGGGGCAGACTTTGAACATGCAACAACACGTGACCCTGGTCCTCCACTCTGTATACTTAGGAGTCTATCCCCTCTCCCTGCTAATGCTAGGCCTCCTTGATGCTCCACACTCCCTGGAAGCTGTTCTTAAATGAGCCAAGACCAGCCCCCTCCAAACTCTAATTTTTCCCTATATAAAAAAGGCAGCATCTGAGGGATTCACACACAATATTTTCTTTTCTTTTCTCTGTTTGTTTTTTTCAAGACAGGGTTTCTCTGTGTAGCTCTGGCTGTCCTGGAACTCGTTCTGTAGACCAGGCTGGCCTTGAACTCATAGAGATCCACCTGCCTCTGCCTCCCCAGTGCTGGGATTAAAGGTAGGCACCACCACTGCCCAGCCACACAATATTTTCTAATGCTTTCACTCGCATTCTGGTTTTCCCCTTTCCTTTCTAGAAAAGAAAGCTTGAAACAAAAGTACCCACTATTGAAAGTCATCTGTGATGGTTCTTTTCTTTCTCATCAACCTGGATCCCATTTCCATATTCAAACAAGTGAGAATCAAGATTGGTCTTAAATCATTTCATTCATTCTAAGTGAGCATACTGAAAGTAAATCTTTAATGGATGATTCTTTCACTTTCCCCTTAGTGCTCTGATGCATATATTAGTCCATAAATACCCATCCCAAGTAAGAGGGGAAGGGATGTAATACTCCAGAAATAAGCATCCAACCACTACTTTCTAGAGGAGATTCTGGTAGTTTTGCTTCAAATATACATTATTCCTATTGATCCATATAATTTAATTTTAAATGCACTAAAATGCTGGTATTGCCATAGTTAATCTCACTGGAGCTACTATCCAAGTTAAACTATAAATCTGGATCTTTACAGGCCAGATGAAATACTGTAGATCCTGATAAAAAATACATTGGCAAAAGCACTTGTTAATCCAGGTGGTGGTGGTGGTGGTGGTGGTGGTGGTGGTGGTGGTGGTGGTGGTGCACGCCTTTAATCCCAGCAATCGGGAGGCAGAGGCAGGCAGATCTCTGTGAGTCTGAGAACAGCCTGGTCTACAGAGCAAGTTCAGGACAGCCAAGGCTGTTTCACAGAGAAACTGTGTCTCAATAAATAAACAAACAAACAAAAAAAGCACTTGTTAAAGTACACAGAAAGTATCACTGTGGGCTGACGAAGACCAGCCTTCAATCAAGCTTCTTCTGAAACCTCTCTCTCAACAGCCCAGACCTTACACTCTATGTTGACCTGCTTAGAAGAGTTGAAACAAGAACCTTGCTATGTCATTTTAGCAAAAGTCGTCTGCCCTTGGTGTCTGGTCTCCCTTGGTATTGATCAAATTGCTCACCCCCTATTTTAGGTATCTAAACATTCCAGACAGTTTTGAGCATGAGTCTAGCTGACCTAGTAAGAATCTCACCAAGCACTGATCCCTCTTCTATTTTTCTGCCCACATATACAAACATACACTGTTCCTGAACTATACATCTCCACTTGTCCATGTGCACTGAGAGCCGAGCCCAACCTCTCTCCTCTACTATAAGCCTCACTGCAGTGTTCACTCTTGAATAATGTTTTCCCTACCACCTGCCTTACTTTTCTATTGCTGTGATAATAAATGTCATGACCAAGGCAACTTATACAAGAAAGCATTTCATCTAGGGCTTATGATTTAAAAGGGTCAGAGTCCATGACCATCCTAGAAGTGAGGATGGCAGCAGGCAAGCTCTGGGCAATAGCTGAGAACTCACATCTTGATCCACAAACCCAAGGCAGAATGAGAGAGCCACTGGGAACAGCATGGGCTTGTAAAACTTCAAAGCCTGCCCCCAATGACACACCACCTCCAACAAGGGCCATTCTCATTCAAACCACCAGACCATCTTTAACAAAGATGATTAACAATTTCTTAAGAGGGAAAAGAAAGTTCTGGAATGGGGACAAGTAAAAGACCCCGATGAGCTGGAACTGGGAGTATCAGTATGAACTAAAAACTTCAAAAGCCTGAGGTTTTGTGGGGAGGGGGTAGCCAGTAAAAGTTCACATGCTTAAACTTCCCAGTCTATAGCTGGTTAGAAGCAAGAGATTAGAAGCACAGGGGCAGGATAAAGAAAAGGCTGTGATAAGCAAAAGCTACCCAGTAGGTCCATATCTCTCCTCTGAAACCCATGGTACTAGATGGTTCCAGAAATGGAAGTTTTCTCAATTTTTAAAAAGTAATGAGTGCCAGGCGGTGGTGGCGCCACACCTTTAATCCCAGCACTCAGGAGGCAGAGGTAGGCAAATCTCTGTGAGTTTGAGGCCAGCCTGAGCTACAGAGTGAGTTCCAGGAAAGGCGCAAAGCTACACAGAGAAACCCTATCTCGAAAAGCAAAAAAAAAAAAAAAAAAAAAAAAAGAAAAAGTAACAAGCATATGCTATGCTTATGCGATATGAAATACTATACAGATACAATATAGCTACAGTGAAATATATGAACATTCATATTAAGTAAAATAAAGTATTATTTTGAGTCAGCTCAAATCATATTCTGCCAAATAAGTTGGGTGCCAAAACTTAAATTCTTCTTTCAGAAGTTTTGAACCTCATGATTCAGATAAAACTGTATGGCTCTACAGAACAGCAGTAATAAGATCTGGTACTGGAGCTAGATTTGGGTCTGAATCTTAAGCACTCAGAGACTTTTCTACCCCTCTATATCTCATTTTAACCACCCATAAATAATAGCACCTTCTTCACAGAGGTTTAGTGTTCACCACTGAACACTGACATATTCCTTAATCTTAGAAGCAGAGTTCATTAAATAGCAACCAGTAATGCTTGGTGATGACCAATCAGAACATTTTAAAGCCATGGCCAGCAACATCAAATTGTCTGCTATATGCACCGTCAGTTCTCAGAGCATGACTGTATTCTAGACTGGTGAGATCCTCAGTCTATCTGACAACTCTACATCCCTTTAAAAACCATTCAGTGTTCCTACCATTTACTATTTTAAAATCCAAGTCCTACATGGAATACCAGTTAAATCAGTACTATCTAGAAAACTCAACCTTTAGGCACGATCTAAGAGAATCTGTTTCAGAAAGTATTTGACTGGTGGAACTGGATTAGCAGACTGTTACAAACCCGTGAAGATAAATTTTGTCTTGATATCCCCCATGTCACCTATCACAGCCCCTTGCCCATTATAGCTTCTCAATGACATTTTGGAAGATGTGATCATGCTTTGAAAGGTTTGTATTTTTAAATGCAGAATAGCTTAAAAATCCCGTTTTTTCCTCCTACATTCTAATTTAGCTTCAAGAACAAATTCTTTGTACTTAGCTACCTTAATTATACATCAGCTTAAACAGAAGCATAAATCTTTTTAGTTAGTTCACTAATTAGTGAGCCTAAAAATAAATGTCTGATTTTTACAACTTTTCTGTGGCTTTCCTCATATACATTAAAGGTTTCTTATCCTAGATGTTGAATACTTAGCTTAACTCAAGGAGTTCTAGCAACCATT